ACTGATTACAGCAGGACTTTTAGTAAGTAAGAATATTAATATATTTTATAATATCTAAAATAATATTAGTTTAATTAAAAATATTTTTATAAACTATATATTTTTAATATTTAGATATATCTTAAGTTCTTTAAATATCTCGGCTGCTGGTAAAAGTCTTTAGTATTTAAAAATATTATAAAAAACTTTATCCAGGCTTAATAGTAATCCGGAGATAGTTAATAGTATATTAATAACCGGATTCTAACTATAATAGAAATAAAATATTTTCTTAAAAATAGTTTAGTATTTATAATACTAGTTAGTATTATTATTCAGTCAGATATTTTTTTAAACTTTTTAAGCTTTAATATCGGGTTTAGAATAGTTATAATTATATAAATATAGTCTTTTACTTGATAAATATAATAGTAGTATTTTTAAAGCTTTTAATATATATTCTGTAAGTTTTTAAAAATCTTCTTCTTTTAAAATACCTGCTTTTTTACTAGTCGGTTAATTAAGTAATCTAAATAATTAAAAAGATTATTATAGATATTATAGATTTTATAAACAGTAGGCCTACTGTTCTTAGATAAATAAAATATAAAAAGAAAAAAGAGATATAAAAGCTTAAAAAAATATTCTATCTATTTTTATTTAGTTATAGTAGAATAAAGATAATTAATATTATTATAATTATAATACTGAACAAAACTCTTAATTATTTAATAAAAATTAAGTATTTGGTAAATTATAAAATAGATTAAGTTCCAGTAAGTTTTATAGTTAAGAAAAAGATAGTAGACTGAGCTTAATTCAAGTTATTAAATAAGCTAGAACTTTTTATAATATTAAAAGTTTATATTTATAAATTATATAATCTTCCGAATCTATAATTAAAAATCAGTAAAATTAGCTATTATTAAAAAAAGATCTTTAAAACCTGTTTATAAAAGACTAATCTAAATAGTTTTTATTATAAATAATAGAAGCTTTTTATATTAGCCTTTTATAAATAGCTTCTAGAATATATTTTTTTAAGAATTTTTAAAATATTAGAAAAGATTTTAAGACTTCTATTATAAATCTTTTATATATATTTAATAGTACTATTTAAGACTTTAATCTAAAGTTTTTATAAAAGAATATTAATTATAAACTGAATTATATAAGCAAGATAGAATATATAATACTAGCTTTAAATAATTATTATAAGATTAAAATAGAATAAAATATTATAAAGCTGAATACTCTAGCTAAACTAAGTCCGAAGTTTAGATAAGATTATACTAAATATTAAACTATTATTACTAATATTATTAGTTATTATACCTAATAACCGATAGAATAGATTATATTTATATAAAACTAATAAAATAATTATAGCTAGATTCTTACTAGTATAAGATCTAGATACCGGTTGGAAGCCCAGTAGAATTTTATAATAATTTATATCTTTTATTAAAAAATATCTAGTTAAAGTAAGAAATACTTTCTAATTAGAACTGGTCTAGCAGTTTATTATAATTAATATCTATCTAATATCTAAAAATTTTAATAACAGTTGTATATATATATCTCTTAATAATTTTAAAAGATGTTTTTTAATCTGTATTTAATTAGAAGAACTTGGTTTTCAGCAGAAAAATAAAACTGCAAGATTAATTATTTATTTAAATTAAATATACTCGATAGTTCGGAATAGTAGACAATAGATAATTATAAAATATAAAACTTAATTCTAAAAGTTCTGTTTATTATAGACTGCAAAAATCTAAAGAAAATAATAATTAAAAAAGATTTATCTTTAAAAAACAAATAAATATCTATAATAGTTCTTTATTTAGTATCTAGCTGATTATTTACTTAGATATTATTAATAATATTTTCTTTTTATAATTCTTGCAAAGATGGTAGCTTATAAAACTAGTTTTTAAATTTTTAATTCCCGGATATTACAAGATATAAAGACATGTAGTATAGTAGATATAAAAAATTCTATTAAAAAATAATATATTTTTTTAAAAACTATTTTATATTATTAATATCTTTTTTTAATTAAAATAAAATAGTAGTTTTTAAGCTCGTATACAGGCTTTAAAAAAAATTATTTTTTATTATTAATTATAAAAAGTAGAAAGTTTTTTTTTATAAGTTAAATATAAAATAATCTTCTGATTCTTTATAATACGCGTAATCTAGAGATTTAAAAAAGAAAAAAAAATCTAGTTTAAAAAACTTATCTTAATTAGAGTATTATTATAATTTATAAAAATCTAAAAAACAAAAGAAAAAAGCTCGATAATATTCTCTAAAAATAAGCTAAATAACTATAATTAACTTATAATTCTAAGACTACTCTGCAAATAATAGATATAAAAAGATAAAAATAAAAAATTTTATAAAAATAGTTTATTTTATTTTAAAATATACTTTTATATAAATATAATCTATTATATTTTAAATACAGCTAAAGCGCCTGCTGTATTTTATTTATTTTAAAAGGCTTAATAAGCAGAAAATCATATCTTAAGCCCAGAATTATAAAGATTAGATTAATTAGATTAGTCAGATTATTTTTATATTAATAAAAAAGATCTAAAAAAGGCTTTTATAAAATCCTCTAAAAAATATAATATCTAATATTTAATTAGATAGTTGTTGGAAAGTATAGTTGCTGAGAAAAATTATATAAATAGTATTATATAAATATTATAGTATAACTCTAATTCTTCCAACTTATCTATTTAATTTATTTAATCTGTTTAATCTGTTTAACCTGCTTAATCTATTTAATCTGTTTGATCTATTTAATTTACTTAATCTACTTAATCTGCTTAATCTATTTAATCTACTTAATCTATTTAATTTATTTAATTTATTTAATCTGCTGAACCTGCTGCCTCTAACCGCCTATTATATAATTCTAAATCTACTTAAAAATCTTTCTATTTCTAAATCTTTTTATAGTTTTTCAAGCTACGTCTTATTTATAAATCTAAAAATAATCTAACTAAATAGCTAGTTAAAAATAAAAAAATAAGTTATCAAAATACTGCCAGCTTATTATTTATTTTATTATTTTGTCTACTGTTACCCGTATCTGCCAGTCTATAATTTAACAGCGGGTTTTTTTTTAAATTTAATTTATAATATAGATAATTCAGCTTTTTTAAATAGAAAATAAGAATATAATAGACTATCTAAGCTAAAATAAAAAAAAGAATAATAGAATAAAAATAGTATATTTATTCTTAATAGTCTAACTAGTAATAAATATATAATTTTTCGGTTATTATATAATATAACTAAGATATATAGTCTAAACCAAACTATAATTATATATATTTATATATATTTCTTGCTGTAAGAACAACAGTTTTATAAAAAACTAAATTTTATTAATACTACTAGGATTTTCTGATTAATTCTTTTAGATAAAGATAAAGAAAATACTAATACTTCTTTTAATTATTATTTTCTAATTTAAAAAGCTTGTTTCTGTATATTTTTAGACAATAATTAAAATAGTTAGATTAATAACTGCTTAATCTAGATATATTTTAACTGTACTAAAGTCTAAACAGATATAGTAAAAAAATCTTAGTATTAAAAATAGTTAAAATAGTTAACTGTCTATTTTTTAGCTATACCACAGTCAGATATAAAAATTTCCTTAACCTGGCTATAACCTGGCGGTCAGGTATAAAAATTCTAATTAACCTGATCTGACCTGGCCGTTAGCCACTCTAATTACAGCGCCGAACTTTACTATTTAAAAAATACTACTAGCAGAAATATCTAATAAAAATAAATAATAAAGTTATTTATAGCTATACTATCATATTAGATAGTCTAACTTAATAAAAAAATATAATTATTATATAATATCTACTATTATAGTAGTCTATATTTACTATTATAGCAGCCGTTTTAGGGTCGATACAGATTTGTCGGGATTTTAATCTGAATATTTATATTATTATATTATTTATCTCTTCTTTTTATATAATATATTATTCTGAGATTTTTTAAAGAAGAAGATTTCTTAAGAATTAGTCTTAAAATTAATAGAAGACTGCTTTTAACTATCTTACTTGTCTTGTCTAACCAGTGTGTCTACTGCGTCAAGTAGTTCCTAACACTTTCTTAGTTAAAAGCCTACAATTTTCGAATAGAATAAATTAAATATATACTCTAGTTTACCAGCTAGTACTATTAGATATATTATAATATTCTCTTAATACTATAGAAGATTAGAGTTCTATATAATATATTTATATAGATATATCTAAAGAATTTAGTATTTCTAGGACTTTTAGAAAAAAAAAATATTTATTTTATTTTTATAGTAATATATACTATATACGCCCGCTGAGAATATTTTATATATATAATTATTATAAACTAGATTAACAAAGTACTAAACAATATTACTAAATTAGAAGAACCTATATTATTTAAAAAGTTTAAGAATTTTAAAGATGTCTTTTCTTCTAAAAAAACTGAAAGACTATTTTTATATTAAGATTATAACTATATTATTATTCTAAAAAATAGAAAAATACTACTATTTAGCTTTTTATATAAAATATTTAAAGATAAACTACAACCCTTAAAAAAATAGTTTTTAAAAAATCTAAAAAAGAGTTTTATTTATTTTAGCTTATTACTAGTTACTTCTTCAGTACTATTTATTAAAAAATTTAAAAAAAAAATTATAATTCTGTATTAACTATTATACTTTAAATACTATATTAATTAAGAACTAATATCCGCTACTACTTATAAAGAAAATTCTAAATAATCTTAAGAAAATATAATATTTTATAAAAATCGATATTATTAGCATCTTTAATAATATTAAGATTAAAAAAGACTAAAAATATCTAACTGTTTTTAAAACCTGTTTAGAATTTTATAAGATTTTAATAATATTATTTAAACTTACAGAAGCCCCTACTATATTCTAATATTATATTAATAATATTTTAAAAAATTATTTAAATATTTTTTATATTATATATCTTAATAATATTCTGATATATAGCTATATCTATTCCGAATATTCGGAATATATCTACTATATTTCACAGAAGCTATATAAAGCCGGTTTTTATATAAAATTTTTAAAATATAAATTTACTGTATTAGAAACAAAGTTTTTAAATCTAATTATAAATTATAATAAATTTAGAATAGACTTAAAAAAGATTAAAACAGTAGCTTAGTAGTTAATCCCGACTTATATAACTAATATACAAGTTTTTTTAGATTTTAGCAACTTTTACTATTAGTTTATTAAAACTTTTTTTAAACTAATTATACTACTTATATATTTAATAAAAAAAAATATTTTATTCGACTGGTTTTCTACCTGCTAGAAAATATTCAAAAACTTAAAAAATACTTTTATTAAAGCCTCTATTCTACAGCTATTTAATTAGATCTATAATATTATAATAGAAACTAATACTTCTAATTTTATCTTAAAAAAAGTTCTATTCTAGTATAGAAATAATAGAATATTATATTTAATTATTTATTTTTTTAAAAAATATATATTAGCCGAGTATAATTATAAGATTTATAATAAGAAACTACTTACTATTATCTACTACTTCGAAGAATAGTACTCTAAATTAAAAAAAATACTATTTCTAATATAAATTATATTAGATTATTATAATTTAGAATATTTTATATCTACTAAGTTATTAAACTGCCGGTAAACCAGATAGTTGGAATTTTTATTTTATTTTAATTTTAAGATTATTTACTGATTAAAAAAATATAAAATTAAATCTAACAGCCTAACCAGAAGATTAAACAATCTTTTAAAAAAAAATAAATATTTACTATATTAAAGCTAAATAATTCTAAAATAAAAGAATATTAATTTTATTTATTTATTAATACTATCCCCAACCCCACTAAAAAGTAAAAATAATAATAAAAAAAAATAAAATAATTTCTTAAATAAATTAAAAATAATAACTTTTTAAAACAGACTGAAGTATTAGCTCCGATTATTAAAACCCGAAGTATAGCTTTTAAAAATAAATAAGAATTATAACTTCTACCTAAAATATAAAAATCCTTTTATATTATATATAAAATAAATAAATAGATTAAAAAAATATTAAAAGTTCTAGCTACCGATAAAAACTACTATCCAAAAGTTTTATTTATATTTTATTAAAAAAAGAAAGCTTTTTATTTTATAAAAACCAACTATAAATATTTAATAATAACTAGATTAAGACTAAGCTAATATATTTAATCTATAATAAGTCCGTGTTCGGATATTTTAAAAAAGCCTATATTTATAAACTTCTAGTCTAAAAATACTACTAGTCTAATATCTACTATTATATAGATTAATAAATAAAAAACTATTATATATACCAATAAATCATATTCTTTTAAAAAACTAAATAAAAAATCCTAAAACTATTACCAGTTTTTAAATAAGTCTAGTAAAATATGTTTATAAACTTTATTATATATTTATTAAAAAGCTAAAGTTATAATACTATACTAGTTATTATTAATTATTTAATAAAAATAAAATATCTAATTTTTTATAATATAACGGCAAATACTTCCGCTGTTATAATAATATATATATAATATATATAAAAACTATACAGACTACTCTAATTAGTTCTTTTAAATAAAAATTTTTAGTTTATTTTTAAGTTCTAAAAATATTTAATATAATAATTAAATATTATTAGTAAACTCTCAACTATTTATCATTCTAAGACTAACAGTTAAATAAAACAAGTTAATACTATACTTAAATAATATCTTTATATTTATATAAATTATTTATAAAATAACTAGAATTAATAGCTTCTACTAGCCGAGTTTATATTAAATATAATTTATTCAGATATAATTAAAACTATTTTATTTTTTATAAACTATAAATTTTATTTTTATATAAAATTTAAACTAATTTTTATTTTAAATAGTTCTACTATCCGAAATATAAATTAGTTTACTATAAAAATATAGACTATTACTAAGTTTACTAAAATAAAAATAATTATTATTTAAATCTAATATATAGAATAAGCCAACCGGAAATATAGACTAGCTAAAAGATTTAAAAAAAAACCAAAAAATATAACTAGATACTTACTATATTAAAACTTTAAAATCCAGCAAGAAACTCGACTAAAATAATCTAAAACTATATAAAATTAAAAAAATTATTAGCTTATATATATACCGACTAGTTTTATTATTAAATATAAAAATATACTTTATATTTTATATTAGTTTATTAATTCTAGTTAGTAAAAATTTTTTATTAAAACAGCACCAGCTGCTGCTATTATATATAAAAGTTAATAAACTTAAAAAATAAAAAATTAAAAATATTTATAATTTTTTATAAAATTATAAAAAATACAGCTGCCTTTATTTAATTTATATAATTAAATAAATAAAATATCTGAATTTTATTACAGAGTCTGCTAAATATCTAAATAATATCTATAAAATAATCGAGAATTTTTATTATTAATATCTAAATAAATCTAGATTCTAATTCTAACAACTTTAACAGAGCTCAGTTATAAAAAAAAATACTATTATAGTATAATTCTATTAATTTTAATAATTTTAGATATTCTGTTAACCTGTTTAATTTATTTAATTTATTTAATTTATTTAATTTATTTAATTTATTTAATTTATTTAATTTATTTGACCTGTTTAATCTGCTTAATTTATTTAACTTTATTAATTCTAGTAATCTGATTTGTTTTTCCGACCGCCTGCTGCATGTAATCCCACATTTATTTAAAAATCTGTCTGTTTCTAAATCTTTTTATAGCTTTTTAAGCTACGTCTTGTCTATAAACCTAAAAATAGCCTGACCCGAGTAGCAGTTAAAGAATAAAGAGAATAAGTTATTAAGACCTTTTTCAGCCAGCTCTGCTATTCCTACCACCCAGCCAGCCCGCACCTTGACACAGAGCTGAAGTCTAATCCAGAATTAAATATTATTTTAGAATAGAGTTTAGAAAGTCTATAAAAAAAAGAAAATTATTAAATTAGACTATTTTTATATCTAGAAAAATATTTATTTTCTTAACTTTTTAATATTCTTATCGCCGTTCCGGCTTTAAAGCAAGTTTCTTTTTATTATAACAGATATATTTCTTTATAAAAAAAAATTAGAAAAAATAAAAAAGTATTTTTTATATAGTCAGATAGCAAAGTCCTGTTTTACAGGGATTATTTAAATATTTTAAAAAAGTTTTAGTTTAGTCTTTTTCTATTTCTTCTCTTCTCAGAGGGCTTGTTTGTGTTTATAACAGGCTTTATCTAATATAAAAGATTCGGTTAAAAAAAAGAAAAAGATTTTGGGTTAATAAATCAGAGATAAGAAAATAAAATAAGAATATAAGAAAAAAAAGAAAAAGTATATTAGTAGGAAAAAAGTAATTAAATATTGTGGAAGCCGTTCAAATGATTGAAATCAATCTATTTGATGCTAAGATATAAGAATTTTAAGTATAAGAAAAAGAAGAAGAGAAAGAAAAAAGAGAAATATAAGCCTATAGCTTATCTGTTACAGGGCGGCTCGGAAAATAAACAAAATAAATATTATAAAAATAGTAAGCAGACTAACTAGGTTTACTGGGTTTTTGGGATTAAATAGATTAATTAAATAAATCGGATTGATAGGATATTCGGGGTGCTTAAAATTAGTTAAATATACTAGATATATTAGATTAATAAAATATACTAGATATTATTTTTATATAATTCTTTTTTTAGTCTTAACTGTCTACAGGCAACAAATATTTCTTTAGTCTTTTTTCTAAATATTTAATAATTCTAGTAAAAGTTTTTATTATATTTAAAAAATTATTATTTAAATAGTTTATTAATAGATTATTAGCTTCTGCAGCGATAAGCCAAGCTTAAAAATATTTTAAAAAATCTAAATATTTAAAATACGCGTTATAAAAGTTTTTTAAAAGATTAGCTATATTATAAAGATTTCCGGCTAAATATTAAATATTATTTATAGTATTATAGTTTTTCTACATAATCTAATAAAACAGACGTTTCCAATAAATTTATAATATTAAGATTTTATTAACTTTATACTTGGTTTTTTTTTAAATTATTATTAGGATTATTTAGTTTAAGATCTATTTTAATATAGATTTTAATACAGCTGCACGGCGTAGTTTTTTTAAAATAAAAAATAAAATAAATATAAACTAAAAATAAAAGATTTAAATAATATATATTTCTAATTTTATTTAAAATCTTATAAAATTTATACTATTTATCTGCTAACTTTTTTAATAGCTGGTTTTAATTCTAATTTATATAGTCTATAAATACTTTTTCTTTTTTTTTAAAGACTGTGTTTTTCCGGTACCAGTTGGTACTAAATATTTATTATTTTTATATTTAAATTATATTTTTTTTATAAAATTTTATATTTTTTATAGTCGGAGAGCGGTTTAACAGACTGTTTTAATAATTTTAGTTTCTAATTTTTTTTTTAATAATCTTATTTAGTTAAATAAAAATTATAGTTTATAGCCGCGTTCGGCTTAAAAAAATAAGATTTCTAAAAAAATATATAGTAAGTAAACGGCAGCAAAGCTTATTATTAATAATATATCTGACTAATTATTTTAAAAGTAGTTTATAAAAAAAATAAGTTTTTAAATCAGATATTAATTTATATTTTTTATTTAGCCGTCTGTCTATAGATAGTATACTGTTAAAAACTTAAGTTTAATTTATAAGATTTTATATAATTCTATTTACAACTCGGAGATAAATTAGAATCTATAATCTAATATAATTATATTAAAAGATTCTGTTTATATATAAATATATTTAAGAAATAATACTGCTATTTTTTTATAATAATTATTTTTATATAAGAAATTAAAATTATTTATTTATTAAACCGGTTTATAATTATATATATTATATTATACTTATAACTATCTGTTGGAAGAAAGCAGAAGTTTATTAAAATATATTACTATAGTTAATTAGACACCGGTAATAAATTTAGTAGTTTAAAAAAAAGATTTTTTTAATAATTTTTTCTATTATATATTATATAGTTATCTAGATATCTGCGTATATCTTTGTTCTATATATTCTAATAGTATTATTATTTTATAAGTTTAAGAGTTTTTGTTTGTTTTAAATAAACTATCAATAGTTATTAGTATATCTTATCTAAAAGTTATATTTTTATATTATTTATATCTAAAACTATTAGTTGAGACTTGTATAACAGCAGGCTATTATATAGTTTATAATTACTTTTTAAATTAGAAAGAAAATATTAGACTTCTATAAAATTAATAAAAATATAATTTATTTTTAAAATCTAATTAATAATTTATACTACTTTCTTTAGAGGCGCCAGACATGCGATATTATTTAAGCAGATATTTAAATTTAATTATTTTAGTTATAGCAGAATCTGTTTTTATTTATTTAAAATAATATTTTTTTAATCTCAGCGGGTTAAAATATTAGCTAGAATATTTTTCTTTTCTAATTGATAATAAATTTAAAAATAGAAATAAAACAAAAGTTTAGTTTATTTTACTTACTATATATTTAATTTTTTTATAATTATAAAATATTTAAGAGCTTGGTAGTTAGTAAGAATTTTAAATTATTTTATATTAAATAGTTTTTTTAATTCTATTTTTTATATTTTAAGAAAATAAACTATTACAAGAAGTTCTTTATTATAAATATTATAATTTTGTTCAGCTGGTAATATAGTTTTTAAGAAGAATATAATAAAATATTACTAGTCTTTATTTTTTTATATTAATACTTTAGCAACTATTTTATTTAAGATGTTTATTTCTACCCGAGTAGGTCTTAGGAACTTGTAGTATTTTAGTATTAGTATAAAAATAAAAAATTATTTTAATAATTTAAATATTATTTGGCAGTTATTATTTTATATAAAAAAGATATTCTAATAGATTAGCAGAATTAAAGGCTTAGTAATCCGATTATAAATCTTAATAAATTATTAATAAAAGTTACAGAATTCTAAAAATAATTAAACTTTTTTAACTATTATAGGAATAGTCTAATTTTATATAACAAAAATCTTTTCTAGGTTTATACTAATTTTCTTTATAAAAACTATAAATTCTAAAAACTTAGTCTCTATAGTATAAAACTTATATTTATAGATAATAGCTTGCAGTTCTGCTTCTTATAGCTTTTAAAGAATATATTATATATATAACTTATATTCTATTAGATTTTGACTATATATTAGAATATTATTTATATATACTGTTATAAACAGATCGAGGTAATTATTTAGTACTTTATTTATAAATTTTTAAAAAACAGTAGATTTGTTTATTAATCCGAAAAAAAAAATCTTATATTTATATATATTATAACAGGTTCGAAAGATGGTCAAATTCTTAAAGTCTGTATATATTTTGATTTAGTAAAATTTTTATTTAATATTAAGTTTAGTAAAGATCTTTGCTGTTTTTAGTTAATCTAAAATTTTATTAATTAGCAGAAGTAGATATAAATTTTTTTTTATTAAAATATTAAGTTTTTAATAGTTTATATATAGTCTTAATTCTTCTCCGGATTTCTTAGCCATAAGAATTAGAAATATAAAAAAAACAGAACTAGAAATTATAAATCTTTTATTTAGATTCTTTTTAATATAGATTTAAGCTGTTTCTAATTTTTTTATAATTATTTAATATAAAAAAAAGATTCTAATTAGAATATTATTCTTTAGATAGATTTTATAATTATATATACGGCTTAAAGATAAAATATCTAAGATTTACTTTAAAAATTTATTAGCTAGATTATAATACTATTTAGATAAGATTTTTTTAATCTTTTTTAGTTTATTTACTGAATTTTTTTTTTAAATCTTACTGTTAATAGCTTTCTTAATTTTTATAAATAATATAATAAATATCTTTGATCTTTTTAGATATTTATAGAGTCCAGCTGCTTTTATTAATATAATTTTAATTTTAGTAAAAAAAAATTATAGAATTATATTTAAGATAGTCTTCAGTCTGTTTAAAGTCTGATTATCTGTAGATTTCTTTTTAAGTTCTTAATTTATATATTATAATAACTTTATTATATCTTTTTTATAGGTTCGAGAAGTATTTTATTTTAGAATTTAAACTAATTATTTTTTATTCTTTTTGTCTATTTTATAATTTTGCTTTTTTATATTTTTCTAATAATTTTAATTTATTTTCTAATTATTAATTATATGCGGGGAAATAATTCTTAGAAGCTTGATCTTAATATTTTTCTATAAAAAAAGATTCTAAGGCTATACCAGCTGTTTATTTTTATAGTTAAGAAAAAGATTTTATTTATCTAGCTATATCTTACTAAATATAATATTATAAAATCTAAGATTTAAGATTAAAAATAATATTTTTCTAAATAAACATCTGTTTACTGTCAGATTAAATCGGATAATATAAGTTAAAAAAATAGCGGTTTTTTCGTCGAATCCGGTAATATTCTTAGATTTCTTAAATCTAGCTGCGGTAGTTTTTAAGAACTTTTCTATTTATATAATATAGCTTATATTAATACAGATAAAAATATTTATTTTAGTATTTACTAGTATTCTTGCGGGCACTATTATAGTATTATTTAAAATAAGAGTTTAAATTATAAAACTATTTTTTAGATCTTTTAATAATTTTTTTAAATTAATATATTTATAGTTAATATTAAATTTGCTTAAAAAAAAGACTTTTTTTAAACGGAGTCTTTTCTCGAATTATTAATAGTATTTTTTTTAATTAACTAAATCTAGGACTTTTTTTTAGAACAGTTATAATTTAGATATTTCTGTTTTTTATAGTAAAAATATTTTTCTTCAGCAAACAGCACTACTTGTGTTTTATTATTTATATAGAATCTAGGAGTTTCTTTTGTACCTTTCTTAGCTTAAATAAATAGATTACTAATAGTTGTACTAATCCTCTATACTAAAAAAAAAATTAGTTAATAATATTCTATATTTTTGTCTATACTTTTTAATATACTAGTATAGATAATAGTAAACTACTTAAAATCAACATTCGGCTTGTAGAATTTAACTAAAATCAGTTTTTTAAGCTTAAAAAATAGCTTTTAATAAAAATTAAACTTTTAAAAATCGGTATCAATGTCTACTTTTTTTATTAAATAATAGAACTAAATATAAAAATCGTAAAACTTCTGGCCAGAATTTATTTTAAACTATATATATTTTAAGCAGATATTTTACTGTCGGTTCGGGTTAATATAAATACTAATAAAATATATAAAAATATTAGATATATCTTCGAACGGATAATCAGTTTTTATTCTTAGTTAAAATAATAAATATTATCTAGCATCTTTTTTACAACAGCTAGTTATATATATCTTTCGGATAGCTGGATTCTTAAAGTAATCAGTATTAGTTTTAAACTTTTATTTTATTATAAACTTTTAATTATTAAAAATAATATTCTTTCTATTACTAAATATAGAAGGATTGGAAATTTTTAATATTTTTCGGCTACTTGCAGGTATCTGATTTATATTTTTATATATTACTAAAATAGTATTTTTTTATATAACAATATAATCTTTCTTTAATTTTATAGTATTTAGATTTTAGGTTAAAACTTTTTTGTCTATTTCAGCCTGTGCTAATTTCTTTTTTAAAATATTTATTTTATTAGATAGATTTTTAATCTACTTTTCGAACTTATTATAGATCCGTAGTATTATCTTAAAAATATATTTTAAATCTTTTTTATAAAATTTATTAAATTTTTTATAAAATATATCTTCTTCTAGGGCTTTCTAAATATTATTTATTAGTAGTATTAGTCTTTTACTACTTTGCTTAATTATTTTTAGTTTCTATATATTACAGGCTATTATAATATATTTTTTTAGTTTTTTAGTTATTATACAGCCTCCAGCTGTAATAACAGTTTGGTTTTTTTTTTATTTAATTGGTTATCGTGCAGCCTACAGCTATAGTAATAAAAAAATTAATAGAATTAAGTTAAGTCTATTTTTTTATTATAAAAATTATAATTATAATTTTTTAAGATTATTTATTATTACCGATAATATATATACGGGAAGGGTTGCTAAGTCTGTATATAACTATTTATATATTAAATTAACTATAAGCTTTATTAAGAGACTTAAAAAGAAAAAAAAATTAAAAATAATATTTAAAATTATATAAAAGCCGTTTAAATAATCGAAATTAATCTATTTAATACTAAGATATAAGAATTTCAAGCATAAAAAGAAGAAAAAAAAAAAAAAAAAAGTTATAAGCTTATAGCTTATCTGTTACAAAACAGCTTGAAAAATAAATAAAACAAATACTAGAAAAATAGTAAGTAGACTAATTGGATTTACTAGATTTTCGGGATTAAATAGATTAATTGAATAAATCGGGTTGATGGGATATTTAGGGTGCTTAAAATCAGTTAGGTATGCTAGGTGTACTGGGTCAACAAGGTGTGCTGGGTGTTGTCTTCACAATATTATATATTATATTAGTAAAAACAAAATAAATAATTACTATTACCTTAGATAATCTCGACTGTATTTTGGAACATAAGTTATATATATTAGTCTTCTTAGATTCAGGTTACTAATCGGTTGAGAATACTATTAATTATATTTTTTAACTAATTTTTTTATTTTTTGTAGATCTTGTTTCTTATATTATATATTATATTTATTTATATATCTGAGCTACTTTACTAAATACTTAAAATTACTATTTTAAAAATATTAATTAAATAAAGTCTTAATCTTATATAAATCTCCGGTAACTAGATCAGGCTTAAATAGTTAGCAGTCGAAAAAATTCTTTCTTAAAATATTTTTTAACTTTCTAATATATAGTTTTAGATAAATAATACTAATTACTAAATAAATTTATAAATCCGAAAGCAGTTTAATAAAATATATTAATACTAATTTTTTTTTTAGAACCTCGAAAGATTCTATAAATATATTATTAAGTTTCTTCTTTAATATTACTAAAGTTTTATAGTCTTAGTAAAGATAAAACTTTATTAAATTTTTTTTTTAAATAGTATATTGTTATACTAGATATTATATTAATATTTTATATTTATTTATACTATTTAGAGTATTTTAGTTATTATTATATATACCGAAAAATTCTATAGTTAATTAGTTAACTATATTACTATATTAAGATTTAATATTATTAGTAACTCTATACCGTATATTAATATATATAATAAAAACTAAGTAAATATATTTTTATAAAAGTTTAAGATTTTTTAAAGTTGGAAAAGCAGCTTAAACTAATTAGCTATATTTATTATTTTTATTATTTAATTAGTTTCTTTATTTTATTTATCGGCTTGGATATAGCTGGCGGTTATAAACTATTACTTAATACTAAACAGCTTAAATAGTATTATTTATAAATTAGATAAGAACTTTAAATCTCGGTTACTAATAAAAACTTTAGAAATATTTTAATTGTTAAAAGCAAGTCTTTCGAGTAAAAAACTTATTTATTATATTATATTTTAATTATATTAACCTGGTATAATTATAATATATTTTATATATTTATAAATAACTATTAGAATAATATTATAATCTTATTTATTTTTGCTGTTAAGAAGTACAGTTATAATATTAATAGTTAGAATATAAAAAGATATAGATAAAAAAAGAATAAATTATAACTATTTATATAGTTGGTATCGGAAAAATTTTTTTTTCTAATATTTATAACAGTATACTATATATTATTTTATTTAATATCTGTATTATAAGAATATTAGTCTTTTTAAGTTCTTAATTATTTGATTTTTTTTTAAATAATTAAGTATATTATATATATTCTTAACAGTTTCTTTAAATATTATACTTAGTATATATAGAGAATACTAGATATTAAAAAATAGCCTATTCTTTATATAAAAAAATAAATTAACTTTTACTTAAACTTTTTTATTTTTTTTAATCTGATTTATAATCTTCGACTATTTAGAATTTTTTGAATAGTTTTTATATACTTAATTCTTAAAGTTCTCTGTAAAATAGACTAATAGTATTATAGGTTTATTTTATAGTATATCTAGATAAAAATTATTATTATTTACTGTTTCGGTAGTAAAGAATAATAGTTTTAAAAATATATTAGAAATAATATATAGTTTTTTAGATTTATAGACTATAATTAAATAAAAAGATTAAAAATATTATATTATACAAATAAGTCTTAGGTTTAATTAAGTTACTAATATTAATATTAAAAAAACTTGCTTTAAAAATAGTTTAATTATTTAATAGTCGGTATATACTACTGTTTTTTAAATAGTCTAAATAAGATATCTGTACTTATAGATTATTTAAGATAAATCTAATATTTTAAGTTCTATAGACTAGTAGTTATATTTTATATTACTAAGCTTCTAATTTAGAAAAAAAATTAATTAAATAGAATTTATTAATAGAATTAAAATTAGAGTTTATTTTAGATTATATTTTAAACTTAACTTGTCGTCTAAAAAAGTATAGAAAAATATTATTTTTATTTCTTTTTTTTTTGATATATTAATATTAATATAGAGTATCTGTATTTTATTAAAATATATAAGTACTGGTTTCTTATAGAAAAAATTCTTTATTATTTAAAAAAACTAAAACTCTATATTTATTAGTTTAGTTAGTAAAGCTTTTACTATATAATTTTATTATACAGTCTTGCTAAAACCGTCGGGAATTATTTTTATAAATAAAGTCTTATGTTGTTAAAGAAAATAAATTATTTTTATATAAAAAAATATATAGTCTTTTAACTAATTTATTAGATTAATAAAATAGTTTAATTCTATTAGAATTTTTAAAAAATTAAGCTTTAAAATTACTACTATCTTTACTTTGGTAGTATTAGGAACTACTTGACGCAGTAGACACACTGGTTAGGCAAGGCAAGTAAGATAGTTAAAAGCAGTCTTTTATTAATTTTAAGATTAATTCTTAAGAAATCTTCTTTTCTAAAAAATCTCAGAATAATATATTATATAAAAAAAAGAAGTAAATAATATAATAATATAAATATCTAGATTAAAATTCTAATAAATCTGTATTAATCCTAAAATAGCTATTATAATAGTAGATATAGGCTGCTATAGCAGTAAATATTATATAATAATTATATTCTTTTATTAAATCGGGTTATTTAATACGGTAGTATAACTATAAATAGTTTTATTATTTATTTTAATTAGATATTCTTATTAGTAGTATTTTTTAAATAATAAAGTTTAGTATTATAATAATAGAAGAATTATTTAATAGACTGTATATTCTATAAATAGAAGATTCTAGAACAGTAAATAAAATATATATTTTATTAATAATCTAATTAGAATCCGATATAAAATATATATATAAATAAAAAAAATTAATATATTTTTATTTATTTTTATATTTTAACTTTTTATTAAATCTTTTTTTTTATATTCTTTTTTCTTATTA